GTAAGACCAGGCTTTCTCTGCCTTACCCCCTTCTCTTTTATAATTTTACTGGCTATTTTATGGTTATTTTTCCAGAGGAACTTTCTAAAAGTACTCCTGCTGGTATTTTAATTGGGTTTACATTGAATTTATAGATTAATTTGAAGTGGAAAAAAAAATCACTGGATGTTTTTATTTAAAAGCAAGCTAAACCTTTCTCTTAACTTGAAGTTTTCTTTCAGTTCTCCAATAAGTTTTTAAAAACTTTTTAGTATGGAGAATTGAGAACATACACAAAAGCTGAGAGAAAAGTAAAATGAACCTTCTTGGATCCATTCAACAACCTCCACACCATTAGCTCAGGGCTCGCCTGCCACAGCCTCATCCATGCCCACGCCCCCACCATATTATTTTCAAACAAATCTCAGACCATTTATCTGTATAAGTTTTGCTATGTATTTGTGAAAGATGAAGATTTTTAAAAATATAGCCATAATACCATTATTATACCAAAAAATTAATAATACTTCTTTATCAACATTTTATGGCTATCTCTTAGTAGTTCAGTTTCTTGTTTAATACAATACATATTTCTTATTGAATATCAATATATCAAAGTTTGATATATGAATATACAAAATTTTTAATAATCTTTTTTTAATTTCTACAGAAAATAAGGATGTTTTATAAAATAGGGATATTTATAAAATGTTATAGTATAGGGATGTATTTCTCAAACTGTTATTTTTGTATATGTTACAATTAACAATTTTCATACGTTAATTCTATAATGTATTGCCTTCCCTTTGCACAGGGCTGTGGAGTTGGTATAGTGAGTCTAAAGAGGGCTTCAAGCAGGCTATTGGATTGTAGAAGGCAATTTATTCATTTGGGGTGAGACATAAAAAGAGGTATAATGATACACTCACAGATGCAAAAATTTCACTAAGTAACTAAGTAAGCAAGTTTCCAGAAAGGGTTTCCAGTATGGGAATGTTCACAGCAAGATTAAATTAATCAGTAAAGTCCTCCAGTAGGTTATGGACCAAGTCTGGCAGAGAAAGGCAGGAGCTTGTATGAGTCTGTTCAGGCTGCTATAACAAAACACACTCCAGTCAGGTATTTGCTGCTTTATAATAAGGATTGCCTTTCTTCCAGTTTCTAATAACATGTTCCTCATTTCTGTCCAAGACCTCACCAGGGTGATCTTTAACGTCCGAATTTATACAAATATTCTGTTCACAGCAATCTAGGCTTTTTCTAGCATGCATCTCAACACTCTTCCAACCTCTGCCCATTACCCAGTTCCAAAACCACTTCCTTATTTTGGGGTGTTTGTTACAGCAGCATTCTACTTCTTGGTATCAAAATCTGCATGAGTCAGCTCAGGCCTCCATAACAAAATACTATAGACTGGGTAGCTTAAACAACAGACATGTATTTTCTCACAGTTTTGGAAGCAGAATGTCTGAGATTAGTGGCCCACATGATCAGATTCTAGGGAGGGCCCTCTTCCTGGCTTGCCACCTTTTCTTTGTGTCCTCATGGCAGAGAGAGAGCTCTGATGTGTCTCTTTTTATAAGGGCACCAGTTCTATTGGATCAGGACCCTACTGTATGACCTCCTTTAATCTTAGTCACCTCCCTCATGGCCCTATCTCCATTACAGACACATGGAGTTAGGGCTGCAGCATATGAATTCTGGAGGGATGCAATTCAGTCCATGGCAACATTCAGCTTTAGAACTGCCTGTGTCCAACTCCTTACTGGAAATCCTCAGGGCCAGATGTGTTTTAGAACTTTGCTTTTTTTTGGATCTTTAGGAAGATCACATGATACATACACTGTGTTATATAACACTCCCAGTGGGGTCTGAAGTGGCACTTCACAATCAAATGAATTAATGCTTTGGCAGCCAAATGTGGGACTATTACAAGAGTAGAATAAATAAATGCTATAAATGGCCTCAAGGCAGTTTAGATCAGGCAGTTTTGGAGCCAAATACCTTATAAAACAAACTCAGTTCTCAAAGCTTTTTGGATTTGGGAGTTGCAGATAGGAACTGTAGACCTGTATAATAAGCAAAGGTCCTGGTGACCAAACAAGTCCCCTGAGCAGGCCATAAAGAGATAGGCAGGCTTGACCCCTTCTTGTTGGGTTGGCTTCCATTGAATTAATTGACCCAGGGTCTAAGGTCTCCAGTTACACACACATAGAGCATATCAGTGCCTCAGGCTTGGTATCAATTCATGCTCCTTACCACTTCTTCTCCCACCTTCTGGCAAAACCCATGGGGTCGGGTGCTGAGCCTCTTACCCATTTTTTCTATCAGGTGACTCAGGGTAGGTACTGGATATAGCTGTGCAGGACACACGCGCGCGCACACACACACACACACACACACACACTTACTTGAGAGCACTGGGCCCTGGGGTGCTGATGGGATTACCCAACAGACTGGCTGTCTTTTTACTCCAGAAAGCTGAGAACCACCCTGGAGGTGCTGATTTACTTCTGCATCCCCTTTTTTCCTTTTCTCCTCAATGAAGATTTAATGAATGTACTGAAATGTTGACTTAATATTTACCCTGTTTGAGAGCATTAGGTTTCCTCAAGCAGCGGGTAGTTGTCCAGGTCACAACAGTGCAAAATGACCCTTGCAGCAGCTTTTGTTAAGTTTCCAAGCCTCCTGAGTAACCCAAGCAGCACCGTTGGAAGCATCAAGGATGTTGCTATGTATACGAGGGTCAGCCACGGCCTGGGAGCTGAATGACTCAGCATCTGTGGGATCCAGGATGGACTTGTCCCAACCCTAATCCCAGAAGAAACCACATCCAACCACAAGGTGAACTGCTGTATAAGCAAAACTGTAGGTCAAGTCAGCTAGCCCTTCACATATATGTGGTATATCTAATAAGACAAGTTAAAAATGTTGGCGTTGGATTTAGTCCCTATGGCAACCCCTCCCCCTTTTTGACTGAATTCTGCTGAGCTTTGTCCTGGTGGCTTGTATCCTTAGATTCCCACCTGGAGCTGCCCCTAACCTCTGAGGTTCTCTTCTCTGTTCCCAGAGAAGGTTCAGGAATCTTCTCTGGTGTATTGCTCTCTGGGCCAGAAAAACTTCTGGAAGGTTATGATGTTCTCCTTGAGAGTTTAGTTTACCACATCTGTCCAAAAGGAGGGCACGAACACTGTGCTATTTTTCTGCTCGATAGTCAATGCTAAGGCATCTCTAGGTGGGGTCTTGGCTTCAAAGTCCTTCCTTAGGCAGGAGAAAGAGAAATTCCCATCGGAGCTATTTAGGTGCTGGCAAACTCATCAAAAGCACCACTTGGGTCATTTGAAACGTCGTGTCCTGTCCCCACAGTTATTCATTCCCTGGCTTTTAGAAGGAGCCAAGCTTCAGAGATAAGTCTGGTAAAAAGATCATTTGGGTTCGAAAATGAGTTCAACTCCTTTGTGTAAATTCCCATGGCGATTGCAAAGAAGGAAGACACTGTCAAAGCGTTTATGGTTTTCTAGTGGGAGAGAGCAGTCTATGTAGTGTTGCGTTCCAGCTGGGTCCAAACCACCTTGGCCGGTTCTTCACCAAGCTGCGGTTTGCTCATCTGTTAAATGAGAATAACTCATGGAGTTGTTGGACAACCCCTCAAAGTGCCTGGAGGCTGGAATGTGCTGATGGGCTTAAGATGTGCTTGTTCAGTACAGACTACCTGTGATGATGGTGATGACGACGACAATGACGATGATGTGTGATGCTCTGTATATTTGTTTCCTTGCTGCCAAAACAAATTACCTTAAACTGAGTGATTTAAACCAACAGACATTTATTTTCTCCCAGCTCTGGAGGCCTGAATCCCAAAATAAAAATGTCAGCTGAGCCTCAGAAGGCCCTAGGGGAGAATCTGTCTTTGTGTCTTCCAGCTTGGGTGGCCGTACACGTTCCTTAGCTGTGGTCATATCACTCCAGTCTCTGCCCTGGTGGCCGTATTGTCACCTCCTCTTCTTTGTGCCTTCTCCTGCGTGTGTGTCTGTCTTGTCTCCCTCTTACTCTCATAAGAGTACGTGTTGGCTGGGCACGGTGGCTCAAGCCTGTATTCCCAGGACTTTAGGAGGCCGAGGTGAAAGAATTGCCTGAGCTCAGGGGTTTGAGACCAGCCTGGGCAACTTGGTGAGACTTCATCTCTACAATATATCAAAAAATTAGCCAGACGTGGTAGCGTGTATCTATAGTTCCGGCTACTTGGAAGACTGAGGCAGAAGGATCGCTTAACCCAGCAGGTCGACGCTGGGGTGGCTGTAAGCGAGCCACTGTACTCCAGCCTGGGCGACGGAGTGAGACTCTGACTCAAAAAAAAAAAGAATGTGTGTCATTGCATTTAGGGCCCACTTGGAGAATCCAGAATAAGTGCCTCCTTTCAGAATCCTTACTTCATCACATCTGCAAAAACCCTTTTCTCAGAGAAGGTAACCATCATAAGTTCGGGACATTAGGATGAAGACATACCTTTTTGGGGACCACTGTCTGGCTCAAAACACTCAGTGAATGTACTGATGATGATGATAGTGCTCAATAAATGCTGCTTGTGGTAGTGGTGATGATGATGATGATAATGACAGTGACAATACAAAGCAGTAAAGAAATGCAGATGAGTCTAGGGGTTTTGTGGAGCTTGGCCAGGAAAGGCACCACAGAGGGGCCTTGGAGCGGGCCTGACTCCACCCTTCACTTGTACTCTGGACAGTTCTCTGCTTTCTCAGCTCTGGAATCCTCGTGGCCTTCTGTCCCCAGGATTGTTAGGCTACTGGGCTAGCTCACGCCAGCCAGTACACGGAGGCACTGTGCCATTCCTCATACCAGTGGAGGACCGTGGGCCGCGTGTGAGGACTCAGGCATGAGGATTATTTCCAACAGGCCCTTTACTACATCCAGGCTTTGCCAGGGCCCTTCGCCAGCACCTGAGTGGTGCAGCTCATGATCCGGTTACCGCATCCAACTGGCCTCCGGCCGCTGTCTGGGGGAATCAGCGTCTTCCCCAGACCACCGCGTGGGACGGCTCTCCTTTTCAGCTGTGAATGCTGCTGTTGTTAAGGCTGCTGCTTGGCTTAGGTTAGGCAGCTTGTTTGTTTTTTAACTTCAGGCTGGGAAGAGGCAGCTCTCGGATCTGGCAAGGATCTGGGTGTGCAAAGTGAAATCCCCAGTGGGGAAGATGCAGCATGGCAGGGCCCTGCTATGCCCTTAATGTTTGGACCTGAGACTTCCGGGCCCTCTACCTGCTCAGAGCCAGTGAAGAGTCTGTGGGTGGGGGTGGGGGTGGGAGAGAGGGAGAAAGCACTTTCTTTTCTGTCCCTTCCACTGATGAAGATTTTGGGCTGGGCATTCTCCCGCCACCCCCAGCAGGGAGCTCGGAAGGAAGCCCACAGTCTGTGCATGTGCGGCTTTCAGGAATTAGCTTCAAGCCAGGAGATGCTTTGTTAGCAAAGTATAGATGCCACTGGAGGGAAATTGCTTTCCAGTTCACTCACTTGTCCCCACACACAGTCAGTGAAGGGATAGTCAGCTTCTACTCACAAGCTGGGAGACTTGGATCCTAGTCCCTGTTCTGTCCTTGTGGTTGAGAAAATTGCTTAACTGCTGCATTTCAGATTTCTTACCTGGAAAGCAAGAAACGAAAGCACTTATTCCAGGTTGCTGCCCAGCCTCAGGAGAGGAGCAAATGGGATTTCATCTGTCAAGGCCCTTTTAGTTTTTATTGATTTATTTACTTACTTATTTACTTATATGCTTTTTATTTTATGAGTTGGAGTCTCACTCTGTTGCCCAAACTGGAGTGCAGTGGCACGCTCTGGGCCACCGCAGCCTCGACCAGCTGGGTTCTGGCAATCCTTCTGCCTTGGCCTTCCAAGTAGCCAAAACTACAGGTGTGTGCTACCATGCCCAGCTAATTTTTTTGATTTATTGTAGAGAGGAGGCCTCGCCAAGTTGCCTGGGCTGGTCCTGAACCCGCGGGCTCAGGCAATCCACTCACCTTGGCCTCCCAAAGTGCTGGGATTACAGGTTGAGCCACCAAGCCTGGCCATGCTTTTTATTTTAGATTCAAAGGGGTATGTGTGTAGGTTTGTTATATAGGTATATTGCGTGACAGTAAAATTTGGGCTTCTGTTGAGCCCCTCGCCTAGGTGGTGACCATGGGACCTTGAGAGTGGTTTTATAACCCTTACTCCCTCCCTCCCTCTTTCCCCTTTAGGAGTCCCCATTGTCTGTTTTTCCTTGTGCCCAGTATTTAACTCCTGCTTGTAGGCGAGGACATACTGTCTTCAGTTTTCTGCTTCTGTGATAATGACCTTCAACTCCATAATATATATATAATAATATAATATAATAATAATATTATTAATAATAATAATGACTTTCAGCTCCATCCATGTTGCTGCAAAGGACATGATTTTGTTCTTTTGTATGGCTGCGTAGTATTCCATGGTGTATATGTACCACATCATCCTTATCTAGTCTCTTGTTGCTGGGCACCTAGGTTAGTTCCATGTTTTTGCTGTTGCGAATAGTGCTGCGATAAAAATACGAGTGCAGGTGTCTTTCTGGTAGAGTGGTCTGTGCTCCCATTTTTAGTTCTTTGACAAATCTTTAAACTGCAAAGCCTTTATGAAATGATCATTGTTATATAACAACATGGAATTGAATAATTTTTTTTAAAGAAAATTATACAACTGGGCTTGGTGGCTCAGCCTGTAAATCTCAGCACTTTGGGAGGCCAAGGCATGTGGATTGCCTGAACCCATGGGTTCAAGACCTAGCCGGGCAACTTGGCGAGACCTCATCTCTACAATAAATCAAAAATTAGCCAGACCTGGTAGTGTGTGCCCGTAGTTCCGGCTACTTGGAAGGCTGAGGCGGAATGATCGCCAGAGTCCAGCAGGTCGAGGCTGCAGTGGCTGGGAGTGTGCCACTGCTCTCCAGCCTGGGCAACAGAGTGAGAGACTCCAACTCAAAAAAGAAAAGAAAAGAAAATTATACAATGTGAGCCAGTTGCTCAAAGGCAGGCAAGGGATTTTACAATTTGAGAAGTTCTTCTGCACCTCTTCTTAATAGAGCCCAAAACACCCTTCACAAGCAACCTGAGGACCTTTGGTGAAGCAATGATTCTCTCACTGTTTTCTTTCAACAAGTGGTAAATTTTCCTAGAAGCCTGTCCTTTGGCCACACAATGAAATCTCTCAGCCTCAGCACCTTTCTCCTCATTACTGTCCCCAGCTCTGGGCTTCTCTTACCGACAAGCACTGACCAATAGGAACAACTCTGATATAGTTCTTGTGTTTGTTTCTTCAAATCTCATGTTGAAATGTGATCCCCCAGGGTTGGAGGTGGAGCCTAGTGGGAGGTGACTGGATCACAGCGGTGGATGCCTCACGAATGGCTTGGTGATCTTCTTGCAGTAATGAGAGTGTTCTTTTTTTTTTTTGAGTTGGAGTCTCACTCTATCACCCAGACTGGAGTGCAGTGGCCGCTCCCGGCCACTGCAGTCTTGACCTGCTGGGCTCCGGCGATCCTTCTGCCTCAGCCTTCCAAGTAGCTGGAACTACAGGCGCATGCTAACATGCCTGGCTAATTTTTTGATTTATTGTAAAGATGAGGTCTCCCTTGCCCAGGTGGGTCTCGAACATGCGGGCTCAGGCAATCCACTCACCTCAGCCTCCCAAAGCGCAGGATTACAGGCTGAGTCACCGATCTGTTAGTTCATGTGAGAGTTGGTTGTTTACAAGAGCTGGGCACCTCCTCTCTTTCTTGCTTCCCCTCTCCCCATGTGACATACCTGCTCCCTCTCTGCCTTCCGCCATGATTGTGAGCTTCCTGAGACCTCACCAGAAGCTCAAAAGATGCCAGTGCCATGCAGAACCGTGAGTCAAATAAATCTGTTTTCTTTGTAAATTACCCAGCCTCAGGTATTTCTTTATAGCAGCACAAAGTGGACTAACACAGTACCCTGAATGAGCCTCCATCCTATATTGGGGAGAGAGTCTTCATTCAGTTTACCTCTTAAAGGCTGTAGTAATTCTGCTTAATGATCCAAAGGTTTCAGGGTTATCGCAGCCTCTCTGAATCCCAGGTCACAGAGGCCTCAGCCTTCTTTCTCAGAGATTCCAGAAAGAATTGGATGTTACTTACAACTTGGTTTTGCTCCCAGGGACCAAAGTTGACTGGGGGTCCATCTGCTGTCAGCCTGAGAGGGATCAGAGACACTGGGCCTTTATTAAGTGTAATACAGGGTTTGTACCTGTTTTCTTCCTTTTTTTTCCTTTTGAGTCAGAGTCTCACTCTGCCACCCAGGCTGGAGTACAGTGGCACCCTCACAGCTACTGCAGTCTCGACCTGCTGGGCTCAGGCAATCCTTCTGCCTCAGCCTTCCAGTTAGCTGGGATTACAGAAGTGCACCACCATGTCCAGCTAATTTTTTGATTTATTGTTAGAGATGAGGTCTTGTCACGTTGCCCAGGCTGGTCTCGAACCCATGGACTCAGGGAATCCTCTCACCTCCACCTCCCAAAGTGCTGGGATTATAGGCATGAGCCAACAAGCCTGACTTGAACCTGTTTTCAAACCATTGAGGCAATTCACTGTAGAAAGTTTAGAAAATAGGAAAAATTATAAAGATTAAAAAAAAATTGCCTGGAATCTTGTCCCCAGGGATGACCTCTGTTAACATGTTCTCATGTTCTTTTTCAAACTTTCTTCTGTGTCTCTTTACAGAAAATGGTGCTCTTCAAAGTGGGGAGGAGCCCACTGTCCAATCTGTTCCTCTGGCACTGAACCAGTGGGACAGGGGCAAGGGTACATGGGCATGAAGACCCCACACTGCCCCTTGGGTGCCAGGAGGTCTCTGAGAGTCCTGTGTTCCAAGTCAAGAAGCGTTGACACCTTTGGAACTGGCCAGACTGTTCTGGAAAGTGGCAGGGTGCCTCCAGGGGTCCTGTCCAGGAAGTCCAGTCCTCCTTCCTCATTTCTTTAGATGAGTTCTTACCCAGAAGGAGCTGCCTGTATGTGTTGCAGACACAGATTTTATTAGGCTCTAACTCTGTTTGGACAACACTGAGAAAAGAGGCTGAGTGCCCACTAAGCGGGAATGTATGTAAAGCATCTCTTGTTTACTCTTCACCACATTGAGATGTGGTTATTATCCCCACATTATAAATGAGGACTCCAAGGCATGGGAATTAAGCAGGTGGCTCAGGGTTACACAGGAAGTACCTGCAGTGTCAGATGGTAGCTTTGGGGTCATCTGCTTTCAGAACCTAATTTAGTGACCCCATGCTTTCTCCTGCTGTGGTTTGAGGCAGAGCTGGACTGGTAGGAGAAGGAGTTAGCTTTGCTTGAAGGCATATTTTCTGTTCTCTGGCGATGGAGAAGATCTGATTCCTGACCATAGACCTACTTTGGGATTTGGTATGGTTTTGGATGGACAAGGCTACTGGTTCCCATTCATTCATTCATTCAATACATATTTGTCATATGCTCCAAGTCCTGAGCTGCCATTAGAGATAAGAAGTCAAGTAACTTGAAGTCCCTGCCTTCAATGCATTTATATTCTTTTATTTTTTTATTTTATTTTTTTTTGAGTTGGAGTCTCACTCTGTCGCCCAGACTGGAGTGCAGTGGCCACTCCCGGCCACCGCAGCCTCGACCTGCTGGGCTCCGGCGATCCTTCCGCCTCAGCCTTCCAAGTAGCCGGAATTATAGGCATGCGCTACCACGCCCGGCTGATTTTTTTTTTTATTTATTGTAGAGATGAGGTCTTGCTGCCCAGGCGGGTCTCGAACCCGCAGGCTCAGACAAGCATTTATATTCTTGTAGGGGACAAAGACACATACATAACCCATAGCTTTCATGTGGTATAGAGTCCTGGGGCAGGAAAGAAGAGCAGCGTCTAAATCCAGAACAACCTTAAGAAGGTGAGTGTGAGGTGGGTTAAGGGCTGGCTTTCTAGAGGAGGCCATTTTTGAACTAAATTTTAAAGATTGAGGGGTATGAAGCAGCATGGAGTGCCCAGGAAAGCACCTGTGGTTCACCATAGCTAAAATCAAGGATAGGAAGTGAGG